CTCAGGGTGAAGGAAACATGGTGACACTGAGATGATTGAGTTGATCTGCAAGAAATGTGGGGCACTTGGCTGCGCTGGTCACCTTGATAACCTCAAAGCCTGCAGCCCATCGAGCGCTGTGTGCTCTGCTCCTGCTCTGATGAGGGAGGGTATGCCTGGCCAGGGATGGTTCTCTGACTCCAGGCGACAGGTTGTGTTGTACCTTTCTTAGACCGCTGTCTGCAGGCTCTGCACAGGAAGGACTGTCAGGCCCTCTCAACCCCAAGTCTCTCTGAGTAAGAGAAGCACCACCCTAGACCATAGCTTCCTGCTGTTTCCTTAGGCATCCATTGTTTCACCAAATTTATCTAATTCTCTCATGCATGGGTGTCCCCCAAGCCTTTCATTTCTTCTATGACTTTTTTTGGATTTACTTTTTTGGCTTTCCTTTATTTATGCATACAGAATCGGGGTACAGACCAGAGGCACAGGAGCCATGAGAGGATTCACCAGAAACAGAGTGGGGTGCAGAACAGGCAGATCCATGAGGTACACTGCTGAGGGGAGCTGCCAGCAAGACAGGCAAGGTCTGCTGCACCATGTGGGTCACCTCTGGGGCTGGGGATCGAACTCGCACTGAAGCAGCTGCGGCTAGCTTGCAGTGCTGCATCCCAACCCAGTAAGCCACCAGGGAGGGACCTGTTTCATTTCTTTTCCATTATTTAATGGAATCATGAGAGACTGCCATGGGCAGAAAAGCACGTGGTCAGTAATTCAACAATGTTGAGTTGTTAGACACTGGTTTGTAAACACTAGAGTAATAAAAAATTTTGTCATGCTCCATGTCTGTTTGCTTGTGTGTCTGTGTTTTGAGCTATCTTCTCAATAAGAGCACAAATGTGAGAAGGGAGGATAAATGTTTATGATGGAACAAGTCATGTGGGAGGTTAGCTGATTATACCTGGAGAGCTTACGAGATGCTGCTGTCTCTAAGATTGGTGGCCACCATACTGCCAGAAACACCATTAAAAAGGGAAATTGAAAATTACAATAGAAAAAAAAAAAGAAAATTACAATAGACAAAGGTAACGGGAAAGCCTAGCAGAGACATGCAAAGCCATGTTTCTTGTTGTTTTGGCTGTATTTTTATTTTTAGCATCACAACTGCCACTGTACATTTGTCCCAGTCAGTCATCCAAGTATTTGTGGAAATTAACTGCAATGTTATGAATGTTTCACAGATGGATAAACCAAAGCTGATGAGAAAACAAACTGGTTCTGGTCTTTGTACCATTTTGGGGTACTGAGTTTTATCTGACTGAAAAGACGTTTTAATTAGAAACAATGGAGAAATTTTTTTCCCCCGCCAGAAAGTAAACTCCCATCTGTTACAGGCTTCAACTGTGGGTTTCAGGTAGCACACTGGCGTCACCTGGAGTCTGGCAGCCCCTAGTCAGATCTGACCTCACTAGTCTGAGGTGTGACCTAGGCATTTAGTGATTCTCACATGCAAATGAGGCTGAGAACAACTGGCTTACATAGGGCAGGTGCCTGTGTAAGTCTGGAGGTGGCATTATAGGTCTGGCTCTGGGACTCATAGACTGAGTTAGGAATTCAGAATTTTTCATTTTCCAACTATAAAGGCAAAGAGAGGAGAATTGCGGAAGATGTTTCAACATGATTAAATGAACCAGGAAATAAATACAAAGTGACAGCAGCACTCTAGATGCTAATAATGGTAAAATTGAGCACATAAGTGGAATCTTAGATTGAGTTTTCAGATATCATAGATGAGTTTTCTCAAACTCAAGAATCAATAAGTGACCTATATATTTCTGAGGACAAAGATGAAATGTGGCATTTTCATCACTAGTGATGTGACAGGAAGCACTTTGCCATGTTGTACTATGCGACAAGAATCTTGATTATCTTGCCTTGTTAATAAGCTGTATGAAATTCTTTGATTTTTTTTTAAATTGTGCACCTTGTTTATTGCCATCAGTTCTTTAAAGACTTATTTTCATTTTTTTATGCATACAAGAATTGGGGTGCATGCCAGAGGTGCAGGGGGTGACAGGATTCACTAGAGACAGAGTGGGGACCTCTCTAGCTGAGGATCAAATTCTTGCAGCAGTGGCTGGTGATAGCTTGATAGTGCCACCAGAGAGGCCCTATTGTCATCATTTCTAATAGAGCTTTTTTTTCTTACTACCTTTATATTCTGCCACAAATCACCTGTACAATAACTTCAAAACAAATGACTATTTTTCTTGGTATCTTGACAAAGATCACTCAGATTACCCAACTGTGAATTTAGAATCCTTCGTTAGTGTCATCATGAGAAACCTATTGATTACCTTACGAGGGACATTGTGCCAGGCTCTGAAGACACCAAAAAAAAAAAAAAAAAAATCACATCTGCTCTTGAAGTGTTTGTAACACGGTTAGGAATCAGGCATATGAACTTTTCTATTATCTAAAAATGCTATATTAACACTTATCATTGCTAATTTTATCAGTAGAATACCCTTATTTAACCTCCCCAAGCCCCCCAGTCTCCACCAATGTTTCACCTTATACAACTCCAATATATCAAGAAACTGACATTGAAATAAGCCATACAACTTACTCAGATTTTACCAGTAGACATAAGTGTAAGCTCTATATAATTTTATCACAGGTAAAACCTTATGAAATCATCACCATAATCAAGATGTTCAATTGCATCATTATAAGACTTGCTGTTAACCCTTGATAGCCATCACCCTTCCCTTGCAATCTTTAACTCTGGAAATCACTAATTTCTTCTCCATCTCT